AGGGAAAGACAATAGATTGATTGCGGATCGAGCAGAATGAAATTGTCGATTCGGACGCGATGTAACCCTTGATGTATGAAGCAATCTCGCGATTCTAATCGATCGGAGGGAAAAAATACCATTGCTGTCCTACATACGGATCACTGAAGAACCTGAGAAAATAATCGCGATTTCAATAGCGTAATCAGATAGGGAACGCATCCGGTGTTCGCTACGCTAAGTGCATCCCCCTCCCCCCCCTCCCCCCCGACATTTTACTTCAATCTTACTCATTTACAGAAACGAGAACCGACATAACTTATTGTTAATCATCATTATCTGAAATTCCTCTCTTTTCTAATGAAAGAATTACAACGGCCAATGTATTCTCAGATTTACGTAGAAAGAAAAACGGTTTTGCTGAAATATCTAAAAATGTAATTACACCGAGAAAAATGTCTGGTTGAAAATGGACGTATCAGAATTTTCTGGTTAAATCTACTAGAGTTTTAGCTGTGATAAACCGGAATTCTGATTAATGTAATCAGAATTTTCTGATTTCTCCATTTTCAATCAAATATTTTTCTCAGTGTTGGTACAGATCTGAAAATAGTTTTGTTTGGATCATCAAAATAATTATGTAGGACGCTTAAACTGAGATTGTTGGAATGTTAAAATTTTTTATAGTATAGTTATCAAAGCTTAAGCTTTCTATACAAGATTTTTTTCAGCAAAGGCCTACACACAATGTAATACAGTGAATCATTACATTCTTATTGTTTGCTAATGTTAAACAGAGATGAAATGATCGTTGTGTTACACTATGCTACACTTTGTCTCTTGCTGGAAAGCACAAATAATTATTTTGATGACCAACAAAATTATTTTCAGATCTCTAATAAAATTTTTAGATACTTTAATAGAACCGTTCTTTCCATGTTCTGCACGAGTATAACCGGAAATCGATATCCGTCCAATGTTCGACGTCGCGAATTGAAGTTAGCGCGTATATACCCAAGACGAGAGCGTCGATAAACAATTATCCTCGCTATAATGTGAGAAGCGATTGCGCCGAACGAGATACGCGAATGAAGAACGTCGAGTCTCTCCATCTGTGCGCGTCAAGACCGATCGAGCTTCGATCTCTACTCTCGTCTTCCTGAATTTTCGTTAATCCCGCCACGCCGGTTATTATCACGCTTCGTGTATTTACGGTGCCCCGCGCAGATAATAGGGAGTTTTTGCAATAACGTGAATCCAGATACGGTGAACGCTAAAGTCGCGCTATCTTTTTCTTAATTAGTTGTTAAGAAGAAGATAACCTGACCTTAGCGTTCACTGTATCTGGATAAACGCTATTGCAAAAACTCCCTAATATCGGTGGTGCCCTTCTCTCATCTCGTCTGCTCACAGGACGCGTTTCATTGTTATACCCGGTGACTGCGGCTGCGGCTGCGGTTGGCTTTGTGCCGCGTCTCGTCGTATAACTCTTCGTCGTACTCTTCTCCCGGTCGGAAGGTACGAGATACAGCGAGCGCGGCCGCGACCCGAGGCGGCCTCAATTAACCGTTGCCATTCGTGCGCGCGCGTCCAAACTTCACGCATGGTAGGGAGGGGCGGACTGGCGGTATTTATCGCGTAATGAAGCGCGAGAAGGTCGTTAACGTCAAAGTTGGAAGTGATAGTTATCGAATAACTGATAACCACTCCCCCCTCTTTTATCCTCTTTTCATTCGCCATCATCCCTTGCACTTTTTCTGCGGACCGCGAAAGAAACAATGATGATACGGCTGTCCTTCGTTGCAACAGCCTCCGAGAACGACGCAAAATTCATCCGTAACTGGAACATGGATCATATGACAATCCTAGGACGTTTTCCTAATTTTTAAATAGTGTAATGATTTGGAATAATTGTATGTTTCATAGTCTTATTTTTTACAGTTTTGTTCTGTTCATATAAGCTAATTGTCGTATCATATTTATGAAAAGTTCAAGTGTTGTAATTTTTTTATATAGTTAAAAATTTTAAAACTTCGAAAACTAATAACAAAAAGCTTTAATAAGTCTCTAGAACTCATACGTAACCACTAGCTGAAATATTGTCCCAAAGATTACATGATTTTATATGATTTCATCTGATCACAAATAATTTTTTTCACTACATATAAAGTCATTTGGTAAAATATACGATTTTATTTAATATTTAATACAATGATTTCTCGTGGTTGCATATGTAATTATCGGATTATACATAGAGATTTCGTATGAATTTTATAATGATTTCGAAGACTCTGTCCCACGATTACGTTAAGTGGTTACCCCCTCGAACTCATATGTTCCTTTAGCAAAAATATTATATAAGAATGCCTCGGACCAATGAGAGTCAAGCGCAGTTATTGGAGCATACAAATATATTATCTATTATGAATTATACATAATTAATTATTATAAACCTTTGGCCTTGGCCCGACACATTCTTGTTAATTATTTTTTTATTCATAAAAGAATTTTGTAATTTTAAAGTCAGGTGAAATGTCTGCATGTTTTTATTTCGATCGGCGATATAAAGGGACAAAACAAAAGTCCGGTGCTTTTCCGCAACCACGTATAATAAAAGCACAGCAACCGCAATATAATCACCGAATCGGCTTCGCAATCGCTCGGTGCGTGATTTTCTTTTGACAAAGTAGACAAAAAAGAAGTAAATGAAAGAGATTTCCCTCTGACCGTTGTCGGCCGCTGAAGTCCGACCTTTTCCACCTGGCGGTTCGTGAGAACCCACCTCGTTTTTTCCACCCATTTCCTTCATCGTATGAGCCAACAGCGAGGATGTCGCATATGCGCAAACCATACGTGATTTACGACACGTTCCACTTGAGATTTAATCTATCGCCCTTTTATGTCAGCGTAATTAATTGCGATGCTTCTGTATCTTTTTTGTTAAATAATTGAACTGTAACTTTGATATTAATTAGGGATTAAGTAGGTCAAATTGATTAATTGGTCAATTAGTTTCATTTTTTCCGATTCTGCAAAATACTCAGATTTTTTTTCTTTTCGTTGGATAATAACTGAAATTGCGATCCTATCTCATGTTTTTCAAAATTTGATGATATAGAACGAGTACAAATCGATATTGCTGCCATGTTGAAGTGGCTTGTACTCTCTATATAAGTGGAAACCAACTATGGGTGATAATGTTTTAGCTCCCCAATATTCTTTTCACCCTCTTTCAAATCCTGCGTTGTGTTAGCGTAGCTTCTTCACCGCCCGCATCTCTTTCTCTCTCTTTCTCTCTCCCGTCCTTCTCGATTTCCCGACACTGACCTCTCCAATTTTCAAATTACACTGCCTTCAGCAAGGTTGCGGCCAGACAGAAGGGAGGCTTCAAATTGTCCGTACATCCACCCTATCGCGCCGCCGGATTTCACCCCTCCACACTCGCGCACCCTCACACTTCGGCAACAATACACACATTTACACTCCCATTTACACGCACATAACTTTGCGATCTTTACGAATACATAGACACGTATTCTCATTGGTTGCTGTGTGTGTATACAGACTATCTAGAATCTACAAATCACCCTCCATCTATGGATCAATTAAGTTGATCGTCTCTTAACAAAACTGTCATCATTTATTGTACGTTTACAATTTTTGATACTAGATTTTGCTGTTTTGCAATAAATTATATTTGACAATCTATTTGAAATTAATAATAAAGTTTAGATATTTGTTTGCGTGAAGTTTATTTTTTACGAACTTATATTTAATTGGTAATACGAATTAGAACCTTAGATCTCGATGTTTTTGAGAAAACAATTCCAAAAGAATCAACTCAAAGGGATGAAAAAATTAATGTCTTCATTTATATACACACATATATATATATATGTATGTATATGAAGTCTCTTATTCATGTTAAATGTTATGATACTTTCAATTAAGAATATACTTAATTTATGTTCAGAAAATCATAAACGAACTCGTGAAGGCTATTAAAAAGCTGTTAAAAAACGAGAATTATAGTATTTTTATTGCACATTTAATCGTCGATACTAAATGCTTGGTCACTTTGCAACCCCTGCTGGGATTAAAACCGTTCGAAGTAAGAGAAGTCATATAAACGTCGATTTGGTCTGGAACTCCTACAAAGTTGCGACTCTCACTGAAAGCTAGATATTTAACCGTTTAGCGCGCAATTTTCTTCTCACGTCCGTTTAATCGAAATGTTTTTATACCTAAGTTTTGCAACGTGAACGTGATAATGAAACAAATCTTTTATTGACTAAAATATAAATCATGTTTAAAAATATATAGAAAATTTATATAAGAATAAAAAATTGTCTTTGAAATATTTAACAGAATGTTAATCAGTAATAATAATCAAGGAGTATGTGTGTAAGTCAATGCTGGATATTATTGCGAAGACATTTTTATAAATCACATCTTTTATGACACTATACGTTTCGACTTTTCTATCGGACTATCCTTAGTATTTAATTCAAAATGATTACATCTACAATGCGTCAATTTAAAACAGTTATACAAAAATACATCTCTTACGTAATAAACGCTTGCTAGTCGTAATTAAAAAATTTCGTTAAATTCGTAGTTGTCTCTGTTAGTACAAACAAAAATTGCCGTAAATATTTCCATCAAACTTTCTGTCAAATTATGCCCAACGCCAAAGAAATCTCCTTCAAAAATGATGTTCTTTAAGAATACAAGAATTTTTATCTTTTATTTCTTTGATTTTTATTTTTTTACATTCGCAACTCTTTTTTGAATGTCGAGTGTTTCTTAGTGAAATTGTCTTATGTCATATTGCTAAACAGCACCAGCTCCTACTACGATAATACTGGTTAACAATAACCAATATGGTATACTGTTCGATGTGTCTGTTTAATTTCCGGTGCGTCTCTATTCTTCTCAATAGAATCGTCATAACTTTGTAATCCCGAATCGATTCTACGCTCGTGTGACCTTCTCGGCTTAGAATCACTTGAACCACAGACACGCTTCTAAAATCAGACGTCCCCTTCCCTTTTCTGGCACACGCAGCATGCAAGTGTACCTGTGTGGCTGTGCACGAAGATATCTTTATGACGCTTGTCAATACCTCCCAGACGCTGATCGGTACACGTGTTCGTCGCTTTGAATCACTTATGTCCATTTTTACCAATGTAGATTAACTTTAATCTCGGTTTAACTTACTTTTTATCTTCTAATTCTATAAGATCTGATTTCATCTAATACCCATTTCTACCAATGTCAATTAACTTTAATCTCGCTTTAATTTACTCCGTATCCTTTTCTAATTCTTAGAACTAGAAAAGGACAAAAAGTAAGTTAAACCAAGATTAAAGTTAATCTACATTGGTAGAAACGGACATTATACAGAGAATATTAATCAGTCCTTTCAGTGACTGAGTTTCTTTTTGATCGTTCAGTGTACTCAGTTTTCTGCTCGATACTTCAGCTTAACATAGGAGTCTACGGTACCTAGTCACCGAAAAGATTTCGTACCTAAAGCAAAGTATCGATAATCCGAACAATAGCGGTGCAAGTCATGCAAGCGCAACAACTCGGATAGATATCGGGCCGAGACGTGCATGCGTACGTGCTCGTCGTGTATGCTGTTCTTGGATCTCGTGTTTCCTGCTGCGCTCTCTGTCTGTTTCGTCAATGCGGTACATTCATCGTTCCCTCTTTCTAACCGCGTCTCGCGTTACGCGGCAACGAACACGAGGGGCTGACTGTGGTGGGAGGAAGGGTGATCTCTGCGAGTTAACGTGTCTATCGGCTTACGTGGCAGCGTTTCCGAATGCGCGTCGCGGCACATTCGCGAACCGACTAATAGATTTATTATCGCGAGAATTATTGGCGCAGCGCACGAGGGGCACACGTGATTCTTGGGCAGTAATCAGAATTATGGAATTTTAATGTTGGGATGGACTAACTTCGTATACGCAGCTTTTTGCTTTATTCTTAATTGTTCGTAATATTTTATCTAATAGAATTTTTTTTTGCTCGAGATAATTTTAAAAATATCTTAGAACTATCTTTCAATAGTCTATCTTAAAATTTTTCTCAACCTTATTCGAAAGCTATACGTTCAAAGAATTAATCTCTGGAAGAGCTTAAACTTAAACTCCGGAGTGCATTATACCTCATTTTATTCTCGATTAAGATGAGGCATTTTGCATAAGGAGCAATTAATTTAATTATAAAAAATTCTTTCACAATTTCTCTGAGATTTGCATTTCTCACGCGACTTTCTATGAATACAACGAATAATCGCTAAATAAATTTCATTCTTAGTCGCATGGAGGTCGATTCTTTCTAGATCGTTTTAAAGATTGGTACTACTTTACCTTAATAATTGATACCAATAACCAGTATGCGATTGTCGTAATGCAACTGCATCGGACAACGTAGGAGCGATAAGGCTGAACGTTATTATGATTGCCGGTGCAATTACTTCTGGGTAGACGTCCGATATTTAACCGAGATGTAGCTGCCCGTAGATTCCCGCGCCATTGTGCATGCAAAATGTTAGAGAGATACTCGTTCCGCATCGTGACTCGTCACAAAAGAAAGAAATAAAAAAAAGGAAAAAAAATGCGCGCGAATTGTGACGTCTCGCAATACACGGATTCGACGACTATGACGATGAAGAGGGAATAAAGACAAGTTTTCGCGGGACTTTTGTCAGGGAATGCCTGATGAAAATATTAAACGACTTCTCGCGGATAAACTAGGGATTCTCGCGAATTTCTATCAGCCTGGTGGATTGAAATGATGTTAGAACAAATGTGAAATGTAAAAAGTGATGTTCTACCTCTTTCTCTCTCTTTCTTTCCAGCACGTCTGTTTAACTAATTTATTCGTTCGATATAAATGTATCGATAAACCTAGAAACATAAAATACGATTTCCCACGAATAAAGAAAATTTAAATTTAAATTTATATTAATAATATTAAGAACACATGTGAAGTTTATTGATTGCAGAGAATGAAACGATTGATACATTTATCCATATTTAATTAAATACTACCTCTACTTAGATTGATGATCATTCCTCTAAATTTAATTTCCAGGATGAATAATATGTTAAGTCTAGACAACTTATGGAATAAAAATGATATGAAAGTAATAGTCCACTCAAGCTTTATTCTGGTTATTGGTTTGATATCTGGAAGTTTAATAGTTTTAGTTATTCAGATCTTTGCTTTATACTCTTATTTGAAGTTGAAATTATCTTTTGCTATAGATAGGTAGATCTCTTAAATCATATACTCGCGCTTTTTGAATATTCTTTAGTGAATTTTCTGCGTTTATCCTAATATCGTGGACTTATCTTTTCGTTCTGGCAAATATCAATTAGAGACCACTCGAAGAAAATTAGAAACCGCCATCTTTAGAGTATCCTTCCATCGAGAATGTCTTCTTTTTAATATAATTAGGATCTTTGATAGGATGTTTATATAATTCTTTTATAAAAATATTACTTTTTATATCATTTATTTCTTTACTATATTTAAAGTTACGCATGTTGCGAGTTTCTTTATTTCTCAGAAGTTTGAAGTCGCGGTTTTCAATATTTCTTATCTGTCACAAATTCCATTTACTTCAGTAAAAATTAAGCTTCTAATCAAAGAAACAGTATTCAATTATAACAGCTTTGCGGCGCAAACTGTACATACATGTACGTGTATGCATAAGCAATCTCTTTGAGATTTGTACAGGTTAATGAGTGTGGTGTCTTTTATCGGCGTCGGAGTGATAGTTCTTTGAAAGTGTCATTTATTTTTTTTTTAAAACGATTCCGCCGAGAGATAAAACGTTAAAAAGATACGAGTGGGGGGGGAGGAGAAAGATTAAGTGGTCGGATAATCGCAAGGTGGCCGTAAAGCGACACTTTGGCGATAGGACACATTTTTTTTCCAAGGGCACTTGGAGATGGAGACAAAGCGACGAAGCGACTAAGGCTCGTAAACTAGAGTTGTCTACTACAACGGCTTTTTAGACAGATTTTTTTCTGTTTCCGTCCCAAGGTTAATTTTTCTAACTCGTAATTATATTCTTATAAAAAATTTTATGATAAGATTACTTCTTAAAATTATCTTTTGGTATCATTCGTATTTTTTGTCTGTTGAAAAGAATGAAGTAACATCATTTATGATACATGTTAAAAAACTTTCCAATGTCTGTAATTAATAGACTTTTAAATAGTAAAATTTTGCTAAGATTATTTTTTGAATTATTCTTTTCGTTCGAATTTCTTTTATCAAATTATTTTTATAATAGTTATTTCTGTAAGGAGAAAACAATAGAAATGTAAAAGAAGTAATCTCGATGCCTATGACATTTCTTTTTATATCGTAGATGTCATAGTTTATCTAAGAATGATCCAAATTAATGATCCAAAGATCATAGACGCTTCCTGTTGCCTTTGTCAAAACCTTTCATGAAAGGGTTACTTTCGCCCTTTTTGGCGTCACTCGCCATCCCCTTCTTG